AACAAGCCACCAGGGACAAAGAAATCTTGGAAAATAAGTTGAAAGTGTTGGGTAACGAATATGAAAAACTACAAGAACGTCTCATCCTGTCGAACCAACAAAACTTTTTCAATAATGAAAATAGACCGGAAAGAGAGTTTGGTGAAAGCGAAGAGACGATAGAAAGTAAACAGGGTCCTGCAGGAGGTCGTGAGAACATCCAACTGAGTATGAAGGAAACCCAAAACGATTTTGAATCAGTTTCCCAAACGGAATTAGACATGAAAAAAATTCAAGTAAAAATCAAACAGTTGGAAAGAAATCTTGAAAACTTCAATAACAAAACAGAGGTGGGTTTTAGTAATGGAGAGCAAGACGAATCTGAAATAAGTCTATCCATAATTGAAAATAACTCCGAGTTTCAAATGAAAACAGAAGACGATACAGATTTTTCCGATTACCACATTTCTAATAGTCCACGGCTGAGATTGTGGAGAGGACGAGCAGGAGAGGTGATTCAAACATTAGCCTCTAAAGTGAATGAAAAGGTGAGATTCTTGCACAACATCAGAGAGTCAGGTGAAACCGAACTAGATGAATATTCGTCCCAGGAATCCTTAGACGACTCGAGGTGTCCTACTAGAATTGTTAGTAGCTCCGTAGCTTTCCAAAAATTCTTGAAAGGTTTACAACCATGTGATAACATGAGAAGGCAATTCGAATCCCAATGTGATTTGATTTTTTGAATGTATAGTTGAAAATAAAAAATAATATCGCATTTGAATCAACGGACTTATTTATGGTCAGAGTTACTATAAATATTGTTTTTGTAGAAACCCCTTTGAAACTGAGAAAGACCCCATTCCATAGTCCGACTGAGTATCTGTTCATCATCAAAAGAGCATTTTGAACATAATACTGTCATGATCATATGTTAAATAACATGTCAATGTTTGAATTGAAGGGGTTATATATTTTAGAAGTGAATAATTTTTGGGAAAGAAAGTTTTTGGCTTTCTACTACTCCATCTTGATACAAAAAAAAGGGTGTGGGAGTCTTCCAAAGAAAGGAAGACTCCCTTCTACTACTCCATCTTGATACAAAAAAGAAGGATGAGGGAGTCTTCCAAGGAAAGGAAGACTCCCTCATCCTTCTTTTTTGTATCAAGATGGAGTAGTAGAAAGCCAAAAACTTTCTTTCCCAAAAATGTCAATGTTATTTAACATTGTTCTGATGTTCATCATTTCATTTTCATTTAATACTTATATGTTACATAACATGCCAGTGGGCTATGCTAGAAGACAGGCAGTAAACAAATCTAAAGAAATGGACTTTAAATGTTCAAGCCAGTCTCGGATATACCTACACAGTAGGTTGAATGGACTGACGCCAATCAGAAAACAACTACTCCACTGGCTAATACCACGAA